TTTCTTCTCTTGAGTTTCCAATATACATCTTTGAATTTGTCTTGCTGAATCACCATCTTACCCTTCCCTACAGTATTTCATTAGTTCCTACGTGGACCATGACCATGGTCCTGTCCACTTACTCGGGAGGTCTACACCTTAGGCACCAGCCAGACAACACAGTCTCACCAGACAAGAACTTCCATTTCTCATGCACACTGTATTGTCTACAAACCACAGGTGGGTGCAACCATGAAAGTTTTCAAATTCCCTCATACAGATACTGTGTATAGTACAATATTCTTGAGCTGAAAAAGCTGCCAACTGTATAAACATATTTTCTGAATCTCATTTAGAACCATATAGGGCCACCTGTTTTAAGAGGTTTGTCCAAAACACAAAATATTGCAGTAAACTATTGTAGTCTTTCTGTGAACAATAGCTCTATCGTCTGTTTTGCTTCAGTCAAGAAACCCTGAAACATGAGGTATTGGTTAAGCACTCCTGTTAGGATTTCCTGTGCATGATGGCTCAATGAGGAGAGACAGGGAAGGAGCTTTCTTGGCAAGGTAGTCTAGATTCTGAGCAGAACAATTCTCTGATCTCTTTAATGAGAACCCCAGCAGGTTCCCAGGCAGAGCTTTTACAAGCAGTCTCTGAGGATCCAACATTCTAATGCCATCATTCACCCAGTCATAAATAGAGACACAAGCAGGCTGCTGATGGGGGTATGCTCCTTATGCGCAGCTAAGCTATGCTTTTTTTCCCCCACAGACATTACTGCAGCAATATGCAAACTTCTCTGCTCAAAGACAATTGATGTTCAGAGAGATTTGATGCTGTAACATTACAGATTATATTTTTTGAGTTACCTTTTGCGTGCCTTAAAATTCCAAAGTACACATTTTTGCTCTTCAACAGTTTTACACTGTTCACTCAATAGCTGAACATAAAGTCAAAGAAACATCAATTCTGTCTGGAAAAAAGAGACAACACCTTGCTACCAGATTTCATTTACAATCCCTTCTATCTACAGTACATATACAGTAGTGTCTGGCAAAAGTATTCACCCCTTCCAATCATGTCCCATTTCGCTTAATTGGTTGGTTTGTAAGGTACCATACACTTCAAACAATCAGAATTACTGTTTTGTCATAGTTCTATTAGGCACCAATAACATCAATGTTTGAAGTATTGGTACTAAAGCATTCTGTCACTTTTATGTTTTGCAAATAATTAATAAGGTATATTCATTTTTGTTGATTTTGTATTTCAGTCTCTGCATCCCTAGTTGGTGTCAATCCTCACTTGTTATTTCTTTATTTTTTTTTTCATTTATCTATCATTTTCAAATGTTTTATCTATGAATGTATCATTTCAGAGGCTGCACGTTCTTTGTTAGACATATAGAAGAGGCATGTCTGCACCAAGAGATGTCATTTTTTTTAATCTGACATTTGCAGGGCAGAAAACAACTTTATGATTTAATTTTTTTTCACAATTCCATTTGACAAACTTTTTTTTCCTCCAACATTTGGTCATGTTTTTACAACTGGTGTTCATCAGTGACATCAGCCACTGTGCCAAAAATCTCCCTTTCAGCCCAGCTCGTAGGGAGGACGCATTTCAGTTAAAACTTCTTGGCTCTTACAGCTCTAGTTCCAAAAGGAATATTAAGGAGAAAGTCTGTCCTTTTCCAGACACATGATTGAAGCTATTAAAACTTTAAGAACTGTCTTTATCAACTTAAAGATAAACTAGCTGACTTGGTATATCTGCTTTCACAATCACAAAAAAGACTTGAAAACAGATATTGAAAAATATGACATTTACAGTGTGCACAGGCGGCTGCATAATAAATCTTGTATAATCATGGTAACTCTGCTGCCAGAGAATGTTTCTGCAATCACTCACAAGGGAGATCACATTTGAGTTTTACAATAAGAAAAAAAGACAAAATACAGCACACATAATGGCAAGATCTACATAATGCATCTTCCTTAACCCACTATTTGTAATTAGTGTTTCTTTTAAATGTTTTCAAAGGCTTAGAATTTCTCACTTGTTGAATGAAGAACAGAACAGACCCCATGTCTTTGCAGAATCAAACAAAATATGGGATCTCCTTGTCTCTTTGGATCAATTTGGTAAGCACTTCTATGAAAATGTACGTCTTTAAATAACAATCTGAATAGATTACTTCTGCACTTTCATTATACAGCTTTACAGAGTAAGTTTGACTTACAGTATTTGCAAGATGGATTATAAGAAACATTCTAGAGCTTCAGATAAGATGTCCTTGAGTGGCAGTAAAGGTGTTTATTAAGAGCACATGTTGACCCCTAATGTTCAGAGATTGCTAGTTCAAGTCTGGTCTATGTCATTGGCCGACAATTTCCCAAGGGGCCAAGCACTGTTATAGGTGCATGGTATCAAGTTGTTGAGGGTATCCCCAGTTTCTCTGCATTAGTTCTCCATTCAATGTTCACTCTGCAGTAGGTGACATTAGGTCTACAGAGTGCAAAAACAAATGTCTGTTTCCAGGACGAAGATGTGTGTGGTGTCATGTGCTGCTACAGGGCTTGTAAATGTGAACCACATCGATTAACACCTGGCAGTTCTAAATTGCAGGGGGATTATAATATGAAGATATTACAATATGGACAGGCTAAAATAATCCTGATTACAATCCTAATCAATCCCAACCACCTGATATAACATATAAAAACAGCTGACAACCAGACAAGTTACAAAAACTAAACACGAGAATGGAAATTAATAAAGTAGGAATACCAAGAATGATACTGGAGTTTGCCTCATTTTTCAAATTGCCAGTTGGGTAAATAACTGATTACATGCAAAGAAAAAGTAACAACATAACTTCCATTTTTAGTTTTTTTGTGTGTGTGGATCAAATAACTTTTTTAAAAAAGAAGTGAGGTCCCAAAGTGAAGCAGTGGAAAAACATAAATCCTGTTCTTCTGTTCAGAGGCTTAACCCAATGCCTGTAACCCTAATTCTTTACAGACTGAATGCATGAGCTTTGCCTCTGCAAGCCGAGTACAATCGAACTCACTGGCATTGATTTCATCCAGCACTGCTTTTCCCCCACAGTCCCTGCTCTCTTCCCTACTGAAGCAGCTTTGCTTGTTTTTACTAATCCAGCCCTGACTTCGGGACACTGCTGGCAAACTGTATGCTAACATACTGTATTATTAATTAAATTTTGTTGCCTGTTTCCTTTGGCTGGTGAAGGTATTTTGTTTTCTTTCAAACTGGCCCATGAAAATAAAGGTGTCTTCTATTAACAGGCCAAAGGAATATACATGATGAGCAGATCCCAGTAAATCAATTTATTTAAAAGGCGTTCCACATGTGAATCAAAGCCCACTCCTGTGGATACCTCCCACACCCTTAAGGGTATCTAAATATCTCCCAGTGAGCGTGTGTCTGCTAGTTTCCTCAGAGGTGAAAACCTCTTTAGCTTCCTGGGACCACAGCTGTCGACTCATAAGATCATTGGAATGGTTACAAACAAGAGGAGTCTATTGTATGTGTCGATTGCTAGTAGCTAGCTGATCTCTTCTAGCTGTTTCTAGAAAAATATCTGAGTTAATCTTCACTGAAATGGCTGACCAGCTTATTCCAGATTCCCAAAGACCTTTGTGAGCAAAAGTGCCTCCTGTTCTTGGTTTTAAATGTGCTTCTTCACAATTTTCACTTGTGTCCTCCGATTCATATTTCACAGTTTAGAATAAGTCCATTGGACGGACTTCGTCAGTGCCTCTTAATAATCTCAGAAGGCATAAGACTGTAGATAAACCATATTTGCAGAATATTCCTGAAGTAAATAGGCAGAATTTGAGAAGCTTTTTTCACACCCTGGCAACATTTTCTGTATTTCAAAAAAGATTTTTGAAACTGAACACAGTTTGACCACAAATAAGACAACACAAAGTGCTCCTTATTTGAAGTTCTATTAAAACTGGATCATACTGACAAACAAACAAGAACATATAAATGGCTTTCTCTGTTTTGGAGCAAATACTTTTTATATTTATGAAATTATAACAACGTCACAAGAATCTCAGTTTTCACAAGCAGTGAATGTTTTATAATTGACTTTTTAAACAAAAAAAAACTTGTGTTATTGGGATCCTGGTTTATTATGTGGCTTTATTAAACCAAAAAAAATTGAAAAAGCAAAGAGATAACCTCTGTCCTGCAATCATGTGTACTGCATTACAAAAACAAAAAGTCAAGGATTGTGTCAAGTTGTGGACTGCTACCTGCTAGAGTAACTTTCACTGACCGTCCTATAACTGATATGGATATGACACCCATTTGGACCTTCCAAAGTCCAGGTAAACAGAGATGTCCCAGTGACACATTTCACACACAAGTACACCATTAGTAACTCACTAACACTTCCAAACTTCACACTAAACATTACTTTCCAAAATTTTACACTAGTGCTAAAAAAAATCCTAATGAACTGCATAGGAGGTTATATGCTCCAGGATTGCCAAGGGCTATTTGTCTGTATTACTGTTCATCATAATCATGGGCTATGGCTATTGTGGAAAAAAATATCACAAACCATTGCTCCAACAGCCTACTGGTCTGCATTAGAGCATCAAATCTTCCAATTGCTGTGATTTTTCAACTTCGGTATGCCTTAGGAATTTAATTCTTTTTGCTTTTTCATATGAGACAAATTATAATTAGTTGTGCCTGAAAAAGGAAAGGAATTATGAAGGGAAAACAAACCATATTCACCAGCACCTCATTTTTATTAACTCTTGTCTTTCAAGCTCTCTTGTTTCAAGAGACTAAACACAAATGCAGCCAAAGGCTGTCTGTACTTGTGATAGAAAAGAAAGCTTATCAGAACTGTATTATATAGAGGGCCACAACCCCTGTTATAGCCTGGGGCACCACACATGTCACCAATTTGTAATCCAGAAATGCCTACTTCAAACATTTTGTCTGCATGGTGGAAATGAATTAGAAACACTTACTCATTTTTCTCAAGAGCCAGGAGCAGCTGTTCACCTTCAGCTTCAATCAATAACTTCACAGACGCAGGATGGCTCTGAAACAAAATCAGAGAGAGAAGATAGCATTGCGCTCATTTGCAAAACCTTTGACTTGAAAAAGAAGAGAAGGTGGAGGGAGAGAAAAAAAAACCTTCCCATTTCCAAATTAGTCAAACTTATTTTTTACTTGATTCTCCTTCATCTTTTCAAGGTACAGTTTTCTTTTGCAAATATGCCTTCACAGTCAGACCTTAATACTCGTGAAGAGTTATGTAGCCTTATTGGACAGCAAGCAAAGGCTTTGCAGTTCATAATGTAAATACTACTTTAATAAAAGACTTTCAAATGTGTCTTCTATCCTACAGTATGTACTTCAGAGACTGCAAAGTACATTCCCTCTTCTCTCTCTCTGCATAAATATGATTTCTATTCACTCTTGATTTAACAAGCACAAATATAAGTAAAACCTCAAATTATAATTTAATAAGAGGATAATGCATGGCATACAAACTAATTTAAATTTGCTACTACTTGCTGTATACAATTATTGCTCAAGATATAAAGGCAAACTTCATGAGCAGAATTTATGATCATGACTCAATAAATTGCAATACAGAGCTGTATTCTTCCTAAACTTTCACCACCTCTGAGTTATGTATCCTGAAAAGAGATTTGGTAAAATGAAAATGGTGGAGGTCACACTTCATCATGACACTTCATGACACACTCTCCCACAGAGCACCAAGAGGGATTTTGGGTAAGCTCTTCCCATGTGTACACAACATGCATGAGTACCCAGAGGCCTAGCCAGCGGCCTAGCCTATCTGCTAGCAGATAAACCCTGGGAATCCTGTCATAGAATGAATAAATCAACATCCACAACACTTAGAGGACAGAGGGAAAAAAATCAGATTCTTCTCCACTTCCCACATAGTTTTCCACACAAGCAGATTTGTCACAAAGCTCCATGTATTCCTGTCAGAAAACACTGAAGCGACCGTAAGTGGTGTACTTACTGAAAGTACTGAAAGTACTTACTTATTGACAAAATAACACAAATCTGGACAGGTGAACTTTGTATTTGCCAGATTAGTCCAAGGAGATTAACTAATGACTACTGTAGTTGCCTCATGGGTGGCACAGTAGCGCAGAGATTAGTTTTGCTGCCTCACACAGCTGGGGACCTCGGTTTAAATTCTGACCAAGTGTGCTCTCTGCTTGGACTTTGTATATTACTCCCGTGTTTGTGTGGGTTTCCGCTGGGTGATCTGGTTTGCTTTCACTGTCCAAAGATCTACTAGTAGGTTAATTGGATTCTAGGAAAACTGGTCTGGGTGTGAGTGTGTGTGTTTGTGTCTATCTGTGCCCTGTGATGGACTGGGGTCCTGTTGCTTGTGGCCCAATTAGATGAAGCGGTTAGAAAATGGGATGGACAGTTTCCCTAACTCTGTACCACCTCACTATTATCCAAAAGGCGATACATCATATAGTACATACCTGTAATGATGGAAGTAGTGTACATGAGGAAAGTAGAGAAGGAAACTCACACTTAGATTTTAAAAGGGATTATTTTAAAACAGTGCATTGGATTCATCTGTAACATTTTTACTTCACAAGGAAAAGTGTCTTCCACACACTAACCAGTTAATTTAAACCTGATTAAATGCCTTCTTCTGGTCATGGATCAGTTCAATGTGGTTAAACAATAGTGGCTGTATTTTGTCTTGTTTTTCCTATGAACACTTTAACTGTGATCCACTTTCACCCACACTCGCAAGTTACAATAAGTTGCCATAGGGCTACATTTATTTAGAAAATGAATTAAATCTATTTGGCAAACCATTTAAAAAACTTTAATGTGATCTTCATGTTATCCAACAGTACTTACAGCTGTAGGAGTTTTTTTAATGTTTTTTTAAAAGAATCTGGCTGCTAATGGGGATATTTTTCTTCAGCAAAGTAAAGCTTTGTATGTTAAGGAAAAAGCTGTAATTAAAAAACATAAAAAAGTCAAATTCAACTCATTCACCTATGATATGTCTGCATAATAAATCTTGGAAAACCTATCCTACGTTTTAATCACTGGTAAGAGTGTTATACACCCATTTTATAAAAGTCTGGCACATTTTCTCCATGCACAGTGGCTCCTGCATTTCAAACATTTCATTAAGGTTCCAGAGAAAAGGTCCAAGCTGAAAGCAGTTTTTTTACCACAAATTCAGTTGTTGAACATGTGCTCAATTTGTAAAAGATCCCATAAAAATAAAATGTTCAGAACATGCTGAAATGCATAACCACAGTTTTCTGAGTACAATTTATGCATGTGCACAGAACATAATGCACTATCATCCATGATATAAAGAATTGCTTAAACATAAAGGAAATAGCTTTAGAATGTTTAGAACTGAAGAGTTTGCTCATATTATAGCACAGCTGTGAATGCATTTAAAAGAGCAGACAGTATTAAGTGCAAGACTGAGAAAACACAAGACTACATTAAAAAGCACATTTAGCATACATACTGCCATAGTATTTATAGCGAAAAATGTTTTCTCCCCTTAATCTTTCTTCAGTTTGCAGCAATCCAAACAATGGTGTATAGTACATCAACTGACAATAAATCCCACCTAAATCTCACAGTACAACTAGTAGGCCTTTACCTTGAAATGCAGCTCACTGATTGGTTTATGGTCTCCGTCTTCTATGAGAAAAGGAACAATTGTTTCGTAGTTTCCCAGTTTTTTTAATGTCCTCTGCTGCCTTGATGGATCCAGTATATTTCCTAGACAAAAAGGAAAGCAATACCATTAACAGTATATAATAAAAGTATATAATAGTATATTGTTTCTGATTATTTAGCTATAGTAAACCGAGCATCAAAACATGTATGCCTATAGTTCTGTATATGTTTTTAGAAAAGTTCAAATATAGATTTTAGATATTGATTAAATGTTTCTGGTGCCATTTTAATTGATCAACTAACTGGCTGTGATTCACTCCATTAATTTTGGCTGTTGTATACAGTAAGTACTAAACTACCTCACTAGTAGGACAGATAATTGGACATGGGTAAAGAAGTGATTTCTGCTGAAGGTTAAGCCTGATGAAAATACAGAAAATCTCAGATAGCAACCAATATGCTCTACTTACAAGAGAACAACACTTTTGTGTCATTGTTATGTTGGAACAACAGTATGTGAGAACTTGCCAGCAGCAGAGCCAATTCATCTTTAGCAGTGAACACTTTAGCAGTGCGCAGACCACCCTGATGGAAGTCATCGAGTGTGGCACAGACATGCAGAACAATATGCTAACTGTTGTGTAGACTGACTGATTGATGGGGAGGCACAACATGAAGGCCTGGAGAGGAAGGAACTCTACCTGTAGAGTCATTGATTTGCTACTGCCTGCATGGTGCCACAATCCTCAAGGCTTGCAACCTCACTTGCAGGCCCTCAAGAAGAGAATGTGACCGTTATGTTGTGAATGCCCTGATCTCCACACATTTCTGAGTGGTATCTATGGTTCAGAGACCAGAGAACAGGAACATGCTTTTCAAGGTTCCTGAACAAAAATCTTGAACAAAAATATTTGTTTTTTCTCATGTTTTTCTGACCCAGCTGAGTTTACCCATAGCATTTAAGTTGGGAATTCACTCTTATTCAAACCATGGGTCTCCAGTTCCATGGACTCGAGAATTGTTAATGTAGTGCCCATCCATAAAAAGGGTGACATAATTGAACCAAGTAATTATAGGCCCATAACACTTATGTCTATTACACATAAGTTATTAAACCAATTCCAGTAGACTCGCATTTTTACACGGTACAGTAGCTAGGTTCCTGACATGGCGTGTATGCCCAAAATAGCGAATAATCAGAACCGCCTTACACCCACCTATTTTCCTCCTTTATACAAATTAAATCAATCGTAAGTGTATTAGTATTTGTATGTATATAGTTTAAAGTATTATGAAACAGTAAAATGGCAAATACAGTACTGTACAGTATAAAAAACAGATGTAATAAAATGCAGGGAACACAGCAGATGCACAGCTCTCACAAATATCATTCTCTCTGTCTCTAATTGCATGAACTGAAGATTAATTCTTGTCAAACACATATGCCAAACCAAAGAGTAGCTCAGATGCATGCCACACCAGATTTTTCATTTATTTTGCATATAAACAAATATTTTGCATAAAATGCAGGTCTACTATATTAGAACTAAAAGATCACCTAGAGGGAAATAACAGGGAACAGTCAACATGAATTTAGGAAAGGACAGATCTTGCATCTATCTTAATTAACATTCATATAGTTATTTGAACAAATAACAACAGTAGTACACAAACAGGCACACTCACAGCATACAATATATTGCATTTAGATTTTCAGAAGGCTTGATAAAGTATTAGGTATTTGGGAGAAATGTATATGTTTAGACTGAGAATTGGTCAATAGAAAAAAAGAGAACAGATAAGTGGGGATTATGTAATTAGTGGAGTACCACAGAGTTCAACATTAGGACCAATGCTCTTCCCAATTTATATCAATGAGCTAGATTCTGGTCTACTAGTGTAGCTTCCAGACCATACCAAAATAAGAGGGTAAGCAAGTACTATACAGTACCAAGATACAAAAATCAATCAGAATCTTCTCTGGAATCAATCAACGACATTCGTTCCAGGGTTTCCTTAAAATGAATGGTTCCTGTCTAAACAACGACGTCTTCATTAGCACCTTACTTGTTTAGTTTCTGCCAAGGAATTGTTGCCATTTTTTATCTTATGTTTAGTTCTTTATGTTTATTTCTCCTCCCTGAACTGGGAACTGGGAATCTTCTTAGTTGGTCACCGAGCTCTGTAATTGGTTGTGGAGGGAATTGTTTGAAGAGAGAATAATTAGGAATGATCCATTATTGCTGTTATTATTATGATTATTATTAAACCTGTAGCCTTCAAAACCTATGGCCCACTCTAGTTGAGAAGAGCAATTAGGTCTGCATTAGTACCAGTGTAAATATGCATTAAGAAAGTGATACATTCCCATATGTCTGTGAGTGTGAGATTGTATGTGCGTGGGTGTGAGTGCACATATGTGTTTGGGCTTGGTGAATGTTTTTCCATGATAAACAGAGATGTTGAGAGAGCCTCCTTTTGTCTCTGACTGTTCCCTCTTCTCAGTCTGCTGGGCCTGACCACAGGAGCCATTCCACGCCTCCTGCCCCCCACCAGCCACATTAACTGCGGTACTTTTTCCACTCCTCTCCAGCTCAGTGGGAAGCTCATTGTTCTAAAAGCAAAAATCCTCTGACATTTGTTTTGACAAAGCACAAACAAACAAAGACAAAGACGTGTAAACAGCCCAGCCGAAATGACCGTGAAAACCTGCTGCACCAGAACGTATTTAGATTTGTACAGTATGCAAGCTAAAGTAATAGGGAAAAAATCTCCTTGGGTATAAACCATTTTCTTCTTTCACATCCATAAAATAATGATAAGTGGTCTAAAGATACTGAACATCCATCTGACTATTTAACAGTGGAAGATTTAAGAAATATGTTAAATCTTCCACTGTTGCCATTTACATTACTATTGTCATAATACTTTTTGAATATACTGTAACATTACTGTATGTGTAGAACATTTCCTGTCTAATAACAGTCTTGTTAGTTTAGCTTCAAGATCAGTTTAAAAAGGGGGCAGTTTTGCTAATGTGATGCATGGTAAGAATTAATACTCAGCTGTAAATATTGTAACTAGAGTGTAAAAATAAGTCTCAGACTAATTTATTTCCCCAAGCATGGCTATTTGTTAAATTTAGTAATCTATAAAAAATTCTGGTTGAGGAAAGTAGCTAAATCTTGTAAAAAAGGCTAGTTAAAGAAGCCACAGGCTGTAATAAGGCTGCAGTGGAATTAATACCAGCACCCCGGCATCCACATTTATGTATCCTGATGGTCATATCATTGCTAAATACATTTTTTGTGCATTATTTTGTGTTACAGAAATGGAAAGAAGTTGCGTAATGTAAGTCTAAGTTAAATTGAATATATGGACAATGTTTTGTAATACTGGGGGTCCCTTTGAAATCATCATCACAGTGTATCCAAGCTTCCAATCTCCCTAGCTGTTTAAAAGATGGTTTCTCTTAAGTCTTGGAAATCTCAATTGCTTAATTATTCTCACATGCACAACATCGCTAAAAAGGAAGTCTGAGGAATTACGGAAAGAAGTTCCCATATTTTTTGCTGGCAAACAGTGGGTTATGGCAGCCGCAACCCTTTCCCAGAGCTTGCAATTCAACAAGAAGCCTTGTGTTATTTTATAAAACCCAAGAGTGTCACATGCTACAGTACATGTAGCGTTTTACTCACTGAAAGGAATCCAAAGTCATAAATTAATATTTTTAGCCCTTTGTTTAACTAGAAAAGATAATTGATAAAAGGTTCTTATTTTCAACGATGACCTGAAATCAGCAAAATACTTCTTTTAACACTCTTTATTTTTGTCTCCACTTAGATGGTTATTTTTAATCTACTCTTAAGAAAATAAAATTTAGCAGTCCTTTTTTTGCTGATAGTCTTTTGACTTTAAGACACCCTGCGAAGTGATGTATTTTCCAAAACAAATATATAAGCATAGTGTGAAAAGCACAGTGTTTGTAATCAGTTTGAGATATTTTTATTTTCCCCCAATATATTGAACCCTTTGTGGATATATAAAGTTATTTATAGTTATATTTGTATAGTTATATATAGTTAGAAATATATAGTTATATTTGTGGTTAATCACTATGCCAAAAAAAGGTCAGACAAATATTGCACCTTTTAGACGGATATTGGAAGATACTGAACTTTAACAGGTTAGATATTTTGGTCTGCAACAAATATTGAAACAGATTTCAATATTAAAAAAATATTGAAACACATTACAGGTCATATTCTGCATTATTCATGAATACACTAGCGTTAATGCAACAGGCAAAATTATAAAGTAGTACAGAGAAAGTGCTAAAGGACTTTATGCAACTGATCAGACCCAATCACCCTGCTACAAAGAGAGGAAATATTAATCCAATTGTAAAAATGATTAAAGAAAAAAGATAGAATGCTTCAAGTGCACACTTGACGCAGATAATTATCCAAGATGGGTATTGCTAGTAATTAACTCAGTAGCTGCAATTAACCTGTATGGAAGATATGAACCACCTAATGGAGTTTGACATTTATTCTGCACTGTATACAACCCTTTCTGCTTGGAAAGCAGAACAAACCCATTTCCTGATATGTACTGTAGAAAGTTTAAGGAATTACATACTGGTTATGTTACCATAGCATTAAATTGGCATGCATCTGAAATTAATGTATAATTCCCAATAAGTGAAGGGTAGCCTATTTAAAGACTCACAACTCCTTTGAAAGCGGCACTGGAGGTTTTAAGGGCAAGACTTCAAAATGTGATCAAAAGCAGTTCTGAGAGTCACACTGTCTTTGTTGGAGCTTTAATCCAATCTGAACGTTTTGAGATGCCTAGACCCCAAAAAAGAGGGCAATAAATCTCCCATTTAAATTAGCACTTCTTAAACCCCATTTAAAGGGCCTTTTGGGTGCCAAGTTTTAAGTTGTATAATGCAGACCAGACATTTCCTCTCTTTTCTTACCTTGTACCAAGAATTATTCAAAAACTATGCTTTGCCATCAGTGCCTACTTTACAGAGAAAAGTACAGATTGACTGACTTTTCAAGTGAACCTCTGAAAAACCGTATATTGCACAGCAC